CGGGCTCCTGAACTCACCGGGGCCACGGAGTGCGGGTCCCAGACACGGGTGGGAGAGAGTGGTGAATTGCACGTCTCCCTGGGGATGAAGGCGCCATCAAAATACATCATCTGTATATATCCCTCAATATTGCACATGCCATCGTACTTTCTGTATCGTACAATATTAGTCTTCTGTAACACAACTAAAAAAACTGGAAACCTTGTTACATTTCCTGAGAGTTTTTATAATTGGTGTTGATAGTAGAAGACGCTTAATTGATTCGAAAAATATCTCATTTTGACTTATTCGTCTATATCTTTTTTTGTATATATATTTTTGTATATTTACATTACGTTGACCCCCAAACGCATTAATAACAACGGTTTGGGAAAACATCTTTCACCCAAGAGGCTTTTCTCACGAGAAACACACCAGCAACTCGAGGCAAAGTCGCAGGCCGCCCAGATCCACGCAGCTCCCGGCTCCACGTCCCAGGTTTTCCAAGCGCCCAGCCCCCGAGGGTCCGTGATGATGGACTGCGCCTCTGACCAATCGGCGGCCGCAAAGCGTCAAGTCGGCGTTCGCTCCAGTTATTTGACCAATCAGAGAGCGGCTCGGTCAGACACTCGCACCATCAAAGGCAAGAGAGGGCTCGGGTTGCGCCATATTGGTAGGGTAAATCTCTACGCGACTTGGGTTTTTTTTTTTCTTCTGGGATTCATTCCCGCACAATCACTTTTCGACGCATGTGTCGAATTAAAAGAAAAGTACCGACGTGAGTCCTGTAAAACTGTTTAAAGTCGGAAAGGGGATTTAAGGGGAAAGAAATTAATATTCGAGTCCTGTTACGCAGAAGGCTGCGTGAATGATTAATCATCCTCCATGTTTGTTGTGGCGTGTTCAGTTCGACTGAACCGTGAAAGAGGGCTTTTTATCCCGAAGTCTGACCTACAAAATGTGGAGCCTCGTCTTTGTGGTGTAAAAGGGCGTTTATAAGACAAACAAAAGAGAAGCAGCACATTCTGTTCCAAATTCAGACCGATATCCTCTTTCTCGCTTCGACCTTCATATTTTTAATGGCTGAATTCGGTTAAAAAAAAAACCTAACCCGAAGGACGACTGCGCACTGTCGTCGACGTCGTTATGCAAACTTGATGTGTCTATCTCGTACAGTCGGGGGGGGGAGAGAGAGAGAGAGAGCGGGGGAGGGCCGGCCGGCGGTTCAGCTGTGTGCTTAACACTGGGGGCAATGTTTTTAAGAATGCTCCATAGTGTTTAGTGTGTTGTGTAAAAAAAGCCCGTGCAGGAAACGTATGAAAGAGATAATTTGCATAGGGATCCACAGAGCAGGACGGTTGGCCGAAAATGACACATAAGCAGTTAAACTAATGAAAAATAATTGAAAAACCTAGGGTGCAGTTCCGTGTGAGTAGACATGACGAAGACAGAGTGGCCGTCCTTCCCCGTGTCGCCCCGGGCCAGCGGCTCACACGGACGGCGTGTGAGCAGGTTAACCACGCGTTTTCAGCGGCTGGACTCCACAGACGGAAACAAAACGCATCTGCCAACATTACGCGACTGTTTGCAAATATTGGAGTGGGTGGGGGAGAGAACATGTTCCATCTTCAAAACTTCAAGCACCGCTTTGTACTGTTCTGTACATTTTTGTAGAAGAATTTCTGCGTAGACGTTTTAGGTTTGCAGCGCGGCGCGGATAACACGAATATACGCAAGTATTCGGAGTCGCGCACCAATTATGAACCCGAGAGGTGGATTTGTTTTTTCTTTTTTTTTAAAAAAAAAAGTCTTATTGGAGGCCGCGCTGAGAACTAGCAGCAACTCGTCACTCCGTCTCCAGGAGGCTGGAGGGGGGCGTGTCTTCCAAGTTTAGAAATACTAGCCATTGTTCGGGGCCAGCCAATCAGAGGCCCCGATGGCGGGCCGCGCCGGCCAATCGGAGCGCACCGACTCGCCCCTTGGCTCCGCCCAGAACTGTATATTAAACGCTCTGCCGCCGCGTGAGTTCGCCACTGGCACTTAATAGCCATATTTGTATTGTTATTGTAGCGTTTGGATTGTCTTTTATTTTTTTTCCCCCTATTCAACGATATCAAACGTGAAGACTGGGAGATGGCAGACACAAAAGTAGATACCAGTTCCGAGATCCCCACTAAGGTAAGGATGGGAGACGGGTTAGATTGATGCGTCGGGTTTACAATTTTTTTCCACACACACACAAAAAATTGTTTTAAAAAAAAACAAATGCAGATTTTTCAGAAATCCCCGTCACCCCGAATCGGACTGGGTAGGTCGAAGCGAAACGGCAGAGACCGAGTGCGCGCTGGATGGTGTTTTTCCCTCCTCCTCCTCCTCCTCTGCTCGAAGCGGACCCGGACCCGGAGCCGGACGAGTCGCCCCGAGCCGCGGTCCGCTCTCCGGCTCGCCCTGCGCGCGCGGCTCTCTCTCTCATTGTCCGGAGTGGTGCGAGCCGTCCGCGCGGGTTCTTTTGTGCTCGCGGGGCTCCTCTTCCCAGCGCTCGGGCTGGAGGGGCTCGCGGCGGCGGCGGAGACCTCTTGTTTTGGTGTTGTTTTTTTTTCCCTTTCTCTTAAAAGAAAAAACAACAAACAAAACCAGGTTCCCCCCCCCCAGCGTGTGCCGGACCGCCGCGCCGCCTCTCGCAGGGAGAGGACACGGCTTGCGCTCTCGCCCACCTTGTGCGTGGAGTGTTTTCAGCAGAAGCCCCTTCTCTCTCTCTCATTGCGAGAGCACTTTCACCCCGAGAGCGTGCGGGAGTGTAAACGTGTGTGTGTGTGTATTTATATTCTAAAAGTTACTTGCGGATTTTTCTGGCGTTTTTTTTGTTTTGTTTCTGTCGGCGGCTTCCCATAATGTGTCAATGTTAAAAAAAAAAAAAGAAACTTCTGAGAAATGAAGAAGTTGGTGGGAATCGGAGCGCTGTGGCGGGCGGCTGGAGGCTGTCGGATGCCGGGGGTCTGGGCTGGCGAGCGGGATGTGTGCCGCAGATACACGGCTGGCTTCGAGCGACAGTTTGAGAAGGACAGGATTGGGAGAGGAGACGTGTGTGATCTTTTCCCCCTCCTGCTATCTGCTTTGACAGATGGGGGAAATAAGCGAGGCGCGCTGTAGCTCTCCGTCCCGTCCCCGCCGGGAGCTCCTGCGCTGGCCGGCCGGCCGGGTCGAGCGGCGGCTCCGCTCCTCGGTGTCTCGGTGCTGGGATCAGCACCACGGCGATTCCGGGAGTCGGTGTGCCTTCGGGGCAGAGGAGGAGGAGTGTGAGGTGGTGGTGGTGGAGGGGGGCTGGTACAGCCGTCGAGCTGCGCCGTTCACTCGGTCTGTGTGTTTTTTATTTTCCGCTCTCGCGAAGCGCGTCCCCAGCCCGCGCCGAGCCGGTCACCTGCGGGTGTCTGCGGGTGGGCGAGGGGCGACCGCGACCCCCGATAGAGAGACAGAGGGGTTTTTTTTATGGGGGGGGGCACTGCCTGCTCCCCCGGCGGAGTGGTGGCGGTGGACCTCGGGCACGACCCGGGGGCGCAGCGCGGAGCACACGGACAGAAAGTTGAATCGACACCAGCCCAAACTCATCGCAGTGGGAACGTCGTGGGGTTTTTTTTACCCCCGTGCCGGTGCAGTGCGCTCTTGGAGTAACCTACTTTTTAATGTGTGTGTGTGGTGATGGCGGTGTTGTTTAATGAATAACACGACAAAGCGATCAGCACTCATCTGCGTCCTTCGCCGCCGAGTTTAAAATCGGACCCAGGACCTGGCCGGTTTTAAGGAGCCCGGTTTTTCATTTTTTTTGGCGGCTTTTGCGCGAAATAAGCGATGTGCCCACATCCAGCGTCACCGCGGGGGTCTGCCCTTCAGCTTCGCCCGTGCTCGTCGGGGTGCGTTCCGGCTGCTGCCGGGGGGAGGAGGCGCTCCGGGGCGCCCGGGCTGTGCTGACGAACTTGGACCGGCGGCTCCGTTCGCAGGAGCGCATCACGATAGGCGAGGGGGCGGCGCTGGCGTGATGCAGGAAATAACCGGCTTAAGGGCTCAAGATTACAGAAACTAATTAATAAAGAGTTTCTTCTCCCGAGTCAGACGTCCGCGGGAGACACCGCTCAGAGCTGCGGTGATCTGAGGAGAGCGCCTCTGCACCTCGCCGTGACGATAATCTGATCGGAGAGGGGGAGGGCGGGGGAATTAAAAACGGGTCCGTTTCTCAAAGAAACTCATCCGACGAGACGAAAACAAGCCGCCGTTCGCTGTTCAGTGCGGTCCCTGACAATACAGGGAGAGACCCGGGCAGGAGGTGACCTAGTTCTGCTACGGTTCCGGTTCTGGCGGTGCCGGTGGGAGGGGGTCGGTTCGCGCTTCTGGAGCGGCGGGGCTTCGCTCTTCATTCAAGATTTCGGAGTGACACACGCGTCCGCGAAACGTTGTTTCTCTTCCCCCCCTCTCCGGTCGCTATTGTCTCTCGCCTCCAGTCGAGCTCAATCTGCCTGCCTCTCTCTGGCCGCCTGCCTCGTCCCCCAGCGCTCAGTTTGCGGTGTTAAAATAGCCGGGCAGTGCACCCTGGGAGTTGTAGTGTTTTCCCCGGGCGTGTCTTCCTGGAAGCGTATGGAGCCTGTGGTGTTGGGGGGACTACAATGCCCAGGGTGCCTCAGCGCCATCCAAGTGTCGGATTACAAGGTTTCTCTAGGTCTGTGAGAGGGGGGCGGGAGGCAGGCCGGGAGCACAGCCAATGGGGTGTCGGGGATGGACGTGTCGCATTTCAAATGCAAAGCGAAAGCGTGTTTTACAGAGCAGGGAGGGGAGTTGACTCGAAGGGGAATAACAGTGATTCACGATTTTAAAAATATCCAAATCAAAGTTATTCACAACATGGCTTCCACAACAGCAGGCACTCGCGTCTCCCTTGGATGGGTTTAAGGCGGGGGGGGACCCCCAATACAAACGGGGTTAATCCAGAGCTCGTGCGCGTGCCGCTCCCGAGGGAATCCGGTTCCCAGACTCCCGGTGCCCTCTGACGTCCCGCTTCTGCCCCCCCGCAGGACCTGAAGGAGAAGAAGGAGCTGGTGGAGGATGCGGAGAATGGCAAGGACACCCCCGCCAACGGGAACGCGGTGAGTCTCCGGGCGCCGGGCCGCGCCCCCAGGGCAGGGGGCCTGTGGACCGCGCGATCGGCGTTCCGGTGGTCCCGACATCCCTGACAGGAGGCCCGTGTGCTGGTAGACTTTACTGGAGGGGTGGGGTGGGTGGGGGGGGGCTGTTCTATTCCAACGCCGTGCAGTTGTCCTGAGTGTCTGCTGCTGCCCCCCACCCCCCCAGGAGAACGAGGAGAACGGCGAGCAGGAGGCGGAGAACGAGGTAGAGGACGACGACGAGGACGAGGTGGGAGAGGAGGACGACGAGGAGGACGACGGCGAAGGTAAGGGTTGCTGGG